AAAAAGTAAGGCTATGACAAGCCAAGTCAGGAAATTAAAATTTAAGGCTGTCATTCTGTGGTTACCAAAAAGAGGAAAGTGAGTGAGTAGAAAGCATATGAACACATCTTTTACATTTGGGTTTTAAATAGGAATAAAAGGAAATTATAATTTAAGAGAAAAATACAGAAGTTCAGAAGGCTTATAACTTAAGTAGTTTCGGATCTACTAATGAAAATGTCGACCTTAAAAAATGTTTGGTGGTAAAATGCATTTATTTCAAAATGTAAAGCAAATTGAAAGCATACTGAGAAAATCAGGCACCTCTTTTCTCCTTGCTGAGGAGGGAGCTCGTGTGCGCGCTTGTGTGCCCGTGTGCGCGTGCGTGTGTGTGTGTGTGTGTGTGTGTGCGCGCGCGCGCCTCGGGCTCTCAGGGTAGCGGTTTTTTCTTTAATCCACACAGAAGATATGTTTTCATTGATTTTTAGAGAGAGAGAGGTAGGAAGAAAGAGAGAGAGAAACATCGATGTGAGAAGGAAACAACGATCGGTTGCCTCTCATACATGCACTGACCGGGATCGAATCTGCAACCTAGGTATGTGCCCTGACCAGGAATCAAACCCACAGCCTTTTGGTGTATGGGACGACACTCCAACCAGCTGAGCCACCCAGCCAGTGCTTAGGGTAACTTTTGAAGAGTGCAAAGTTTCTTGGCTGAAAGTTTTTGTCCTCACTTGTGGTCAATTTTGAGCTTCTCGACTCCATCCTACCCCATACAATGTGGAACAATGGTCCAACCTGAAAATCTCAAATGTTCTGAGCTACAAAAAAGACACACATATCAAAAAGGTCTCAGAACATTTATGTTATGAATCTTGTCTGCTTTTACAATTAATGTTAAATCACCTTAAAAACAAAAAACCCAAGTCGTATGAAGATTATGCAGCCAGCACAAATTACTTTTAGACAAAAATTAAGCATAATTAAAAAAACAAACGTAACATTATTTGTGCACAATGGCTAACAATAGCCTCTACTGAGGCATTATAGTTCATATATTAGGGGATCTATTGAGAGTTCTGGTTTATTAAAATGTATTGCTTTTCAATGGCAACCCACATAACAAATGGGCATATTTAGCACCCTGATTTTGGTCTCTACCTACATAAAATGGTCAGAGCACCATGGGGAAATGGTTGGTTTCCAAGAAGGAAGGAAAGAAAAGAGGCTATTTAATTAAATCCATTTAAATGAAATAAAATGGAAAATTCTGTTCCTCAATAGCTCTAGGTACACTTCAAGTGCTCAATGACCACATGTGACTATTGGCCATAATAGTGGACTGCAGCACCTGGAACATTTCCATCACTGCATAGGTTCTATTGGACAGCATTGGTTTAATGAGAGAGTTAAGAGACTTAAAAACCAAATGCAATGTGTGAGACAGTTTCAATTTTGATCAAATAATAGAGAGTCTTTTCTAGATTAATGGGGAAATTTAAATATAGCCCAAGAATTAAAATATTAAGGAAATATTGTTAATAATAATGTGTGAGAACAGTATTAGGGTATATATATAGTAAAATGTCCTTACTTTTAGAGATACACAAAAGTAAAATGCTATATTGTCTGGAATTTTAGAATGCTTCATAAAAATTTGATGAAATAAATATGGCAAAATGTTAATAATTGTCAAATCTAAGTCATAGCATATTCTCTATACTTCTATGTATGTTTGAGATTTATCATAATGAAATGTAAAAGTCATAGCTTCTTGCATTTCTAATTTTAAAATATTAAATGTAATTTACACATATTTTTGTATGAGCATGTGTACTTATATATGAACTCGAAGCTGAACCATAAAAGCCCAGTATCTGGGCCTCAGAGACAGGGGTTGTGCTGTCTGCAGTGTTATTGCCACAGTTAAGCCAGGGATGATTGAAACACAAGGCTACGGTTGCCGTTGTCTTCAATAAACTGCTCTTTTACCGAAGGGAAGTTATTCAGACAATTAGATGGATAGGTAATCAACTGCACTATTACAAGTGGCAAATATTTTAGAAGTATCAGAATTTTAAAACATTTAGGAAGCACATTTAGTTGTTTTAATTAAAAGCACTGTGATAAAAATATTTAGATTGTGTGGCTAAAAATCTCACTTAATGTTTGATTTGTTATAGGTACAGATTACAGAAGTAATATGTTATATGAAACGCTCAGGTCAAATAGCCATGTCATTTAACAAAGGCACAACATGTTCAATAATACCATCCACGAGAAATCTGTGTAATTAGGTCAAATTATTAATGGAAAACATGATAAAGCACTGTTTTAAACAAACAAAATGACCAAACTGCATAAAAACCTATATAAATATTGTTGAACTAGAATTATAGGAAATATAGGCAGTATATGTTTAAATATTTAAAATTATTTCATGCATTTTCCAATATTTATCATAAAAGTTTGAAACATTTTGGGAATCACATATTTCTATGGTATCAGGGCTAGATCTCCATGACACAAAACAAAGGAGACACTTGGTGTGTAACATCCATTCATTTAATAAATATTTCTTAAAATGAATTAGTTATCTATCATAAAAGATTATTAAAATATATTTGAGCAGGGTAAATCAGTAAACCATATAGTGCAGATAGAAGCATTGAGACTCTAAAATTAACTTTTGGGTCTCAGTTACTCAGTTTAGTAGAATTGACAAATACACCTTCACTATGTGATGTGCATAGTTGGTTAATCCCAGAATACAGATATTAGAATCTGTAGAGTGCCAAATAGGACTCAGTGATATGCTAGAAATATAGATTAATAAAATAGAGCTATTACTTAATTCCAAGTTTCAAAAACAAGTAATGTTTTCATGAAATAACATATAAATATATTGATAATGAAGTTCAATAGTGATTTGTTAAAAGTGCAATAGCAGTAAAAACTTTAATGCAAAAATGTGGACAACCCATATTTTCTAAGCACCATTGGTCCTCTAACAATGTGGGGGTTGGGAGCACTGACCCATGCACAGATGGAAATTGGTGTACAGCTTTTGAGTCCCCCAAAACTCAGTCGTCCCTCAGTATCCATGGGGAACTGTTCCAGGACCCCCAGGGACACCAAAATCCACAGATGCTCAAGCCCTTTATATAAAATGATATAGATCAATGCATATAGTCAGTCCTTTGCGATCACAAATTCAGCCAATTGCAAATTGAAAATGCTGTTTCTGGTCCGAGTTGGCTGAATCTGTGGGTGCGAAACCTGAGGATACAAAGGTCCTACAATTATAAATTTATTGAAAAAAAAATCGGTGTGTAAGTGGACTCGAGCAGTTTAAACCCATGTTTTCAAGGGTCAGCTATACTAACAACTTGCCAATTGTATATATTATATATTTTTTATCACTACCATATTCATTCAGCTCTATGGTTTTGGCTAAACACTATTTGATCATGCCAAAAATTTTAGGATTTGATTTTAGAAAAATAACTAAGGTTTTAATGATAAATGTCTCCAGATATTTACACATTTGCTCTTTGAAATATAGAATGCCCTTTTTATATACTATTGTAAATGTAATTTGAGTCCCAGGCTAAGTTACAAAATATACATGAAACTTAATCTAGCTTAAGAATACACCTAGTCAAATTCCATGCTGTGGAAACCAAGGGCCAACTAATTTAGGAAAGAGGAAGGAAAGGAAAACAAAAAGACGTTTCCCTGGCTCCAGGATCAGCACTAGGTAAACTTCTGAAAAAGCTGCCTTTGCCTTGACGTCCTTTTAACTTGTCTTTTGTGTCCATTTTATGCCTTGGTCGAGTTCGTTCCCTTTGTCATCTCCCAATTCTTTGTGATATTCTGAATCTTCTGCACATGGGGCCCACCAAGGCCTGCCTGACCCAGGAACCACTGCAGATTCCCCACAAGCACTGACTTTCCCTACCCATACTCCAGTTAACGGTCATCTTTCACCAAAGCAGCTGGATCACATAGAGGCCACAAGGAAAACAATCTGATTGACCGAAGCATCAAAATGTGCCTGCAGCTCTTCCAGCTTTATCACTTGCATTGCATTATTTGTATCACTTAAAATATCATGCTAAATATCACAAATACTTAAAAAGGGGAAGTTCTAAGATACTAACAATTTGGCGAGAGAAGGCGTACCACAAAGATAGGAAACCCCTTTCAAGAAAGGGCAAGCTCTGAAAGCACACATGCTATTACAGTGCACTGAACTCACAGTCTGAACATGCCTGTCTGCTCCTCAATCTAGGTTCTTTATCTGCGCTAGGGTTTGTGAAGTTCCTCTTAGTGCAGCTCAGAGCAATGGAAGGGGACACTCTGCAGGTGGTGGGGTATTGGGCTATTTAATGTTTGGAAACTGCTTTAAATAATTTAGGGGAGAAAATTTGCATTCTTATTTACATTTGGTGCAGGCTTAATTTGGCATTTGTTATACTTCATCAACATACACTGACTTCAGCATTACAAGGGAAATCTCTTTTGATATTAAAACCCAGCAGCAGATGGTCAACAACACGTTGACCACATGACATGGACACTTGACTTTCTTACTCTGATAGTCAAATACATTGTAATTATTTTTTAGTTAGCTCATTTCACATTCATTTAAAATCTAAACAATGTCTGAGTTTTTATGGGGCATAAAAAACTTTGGGGGACAAAAAGTAAACTATGCCAATGAACTTTTTATAGAATATTTAAAAGCAGAAGGCGATACTGACACTGTAACACATGATCTTAGTCTCAGACACAGTGAGAAATGCTTCAAGTCATCATGCATTGGGAACCTGCTACAATAAAAATTTCCAGTGTGTTTCATATGAGTGGCAACAAAGAATTTAAGGAGTTTTTCAGATATCCAGACTTGTTTAAGAGTACCACTCCTCTATGTCCAAAATCTTTTTAAAAAATTGAAACAAAAATGACAGTTTTTCAGTGAATGACTTGTAAGAAACCAATGTTGGAATAGTAATTACCTGCAAGGGACTCGCCAGGGACCTGTTTTTAGGTACTGTAAATGCTTTGAGAACATTGTCTTCATCTTCTGATACTGGAGTCATTAAAACGGAACTGGTAAGAATATTCTAAAGGGAAAGAGAATAGTTTGAAATTTAAATGGGGTTGGATAGTATGAGAGCTGACACGAGTCTGACACTGTAGAGAGTAGATTGCTCTGACGTGAAACACATTAGTGGGACAAAAATGCAGGTGTCTGCCAGAAATTCTCTCCTCACTGAGCTAAAAGGAGAACTCACCTATGCACTACCCCCGATCTCAGTGCAGCAAACAGAAATACGGGGGAAAGCCAGGCAGGAGATAGGTACTCAGAAACCATCTGCTAAATGAATTATTAGATATATGCTTTTAAAAATGAAAGATTTGCTAATCCCTGGTGAGGAGGACTACGTATGTTACATATTGGTAGAAAAGGATTTTGGAGCTGCAAATTAGTGGCAGAGGGATGCTGATAACAAGGGAGGCTGTGCACGAGTGGGGAGTGTGTACACGGGAAAATCTCCGTGCCTGGCGCTCAGCTCTGCTGTGAACCCAAAACTACTATAAAAAATAAAGTCTATCAAAAAGTGGTGGTGACCAGAGCAATCCACTACAGGGTGCAATAAAGAGCATCTACTATAGACACTGTGGTTAGCACCATGCAGCACAGAACCAACCAAGTGACAACTTGACAAGGAGGAAATACTACATTTAGAAGACAAATAAGTAAATTAAAAGAAAATATAAAAATTAACATTCTGTTTTCATGGAAAATACATATATTAACACAGCAGATTTTTTAAGAGGCAAGGACTTTCAAAGCCTGAGGAAATAATCACAAAATCTGCAACAGAATCTATTTCCAACACATAAACAAAACCTCAACTTTATATTCAACATGAATCATCATAAGAAAAGAATCATGTGAGAGAATATCTTGAGCAGGGGTGTCCGACCCACGGCCCACAGGCCTTATGCGGCCCAGCACAAAATTGTAAATTTACTTAAAACCTTTTTTTTTGGCTCATTTAGTTTTTGTTAGTGTTTTGTGTATTTAATGTGTGGCCCAAGACAACTCTTCTTCTTACAGCATGGCCCAGAGACACCCTAAGGTTGGACGCCCCTGTGGGTGCTGAAACCACAGAAGCCCACATGCCACACAGAATTCTGTGAGGCACCAACATCTCCTAACATGGGTGTGTACTTACGGGTACATCTGCCACAGGCGATGCCTGTGGGAACAGCTGAGTGTTCAGACTCTCCCCTTCCCAGTGGTTTGAGCAGAAGAAGTTTCCTGCTTTATCAGTTGGAGATTCCACCTGAAAGCAAACAGGAAGTGCTTTGTTGTTTCTAGAACTAGAATTTCCCATGAAACGTTTTACACTCAAGAGTAAATTTCTGTAAGGTAAGGTTTAAGGAGCTAATGTTTAACATGGTAACTATAGTTGATGGCACTGTATTGTATATTTGAAATCTAAGAGAGTAGTATTTAAATGTTCTCACCACAAAAGGGAAAATAGATGAGGTGATAGATATGTTAACTAACTCAACTTGGGAGAATCCTTTCATAATGTATACATATATCAAATCATCACGTGTACCCTTTCAATATTTTACAACTTTATTTGTCAATGATATCTCAGTTAGGCTGGAATAAAAATGAATATATGTCTGGCCAGTCTCTTTAACACTTATCCTTATATGCAAATAAATTCAAGTGGCACTGTGTCTAACCTGTAAGAAACATTTCTTGCCACCAAGGTAAAATTTTGATCCTTGAAAGTTAGATTCCCTTGCTTTTATATTATGAATTAAAGATAATATTATTTTAATTTTCAATTCTCCATGACATCTTGAAAGTTAAATATCTGTGTATCAATTGTCTGTCCATCTATGTGGCAGTGACAAAAGTACAGTTAAAAAGCTGCTTCCTTCTCTTTCCTTTATCTTCTCTAGCATATTTGCTGTTCAAACATGAAGCAGATAGAAGTGGCTCAGCTTCCCAAATGAAGGCCACACGCCTGCAGTCTGGCAGGACCTCCAAACAGCATCTTGTATGGAAGGCGATATTGTTACACAGAACCGATGCCAGACACATCGAGCTGCCCACAAGGAATAAAGGGAACAGGATTCACAGCCTGTTCCTTGCAGAGGATCTCAGATTTACCTCTTGTTTGATCTTCTTCAGTAAAGGTGGTCCATTTTCTTGAAACTCAGTAACAATACCAGATTCATCAGCTTCCTGTTTGATCACATCCTGTAGGTCTTCTACGAGATGAGACGGTGTCTGAGGCTGAAGAGAAGAGCAGGCATGTTTGCATCAGGAAAATTTCTGTCTGAACTAATATACCAACTAAACCCAGAAACTTTGCACACACTTACTAGCATCTTCAGGGGACCATATTTAATTTCTTGAGCTGCAAGTGCATGTTTAAATGGTGTAGGGGTTCTCGGAGAGCTTTCTAGGATTGACCTTTTGATAGCTGGAGTTCTAAAACTTTAAAAAGAAAACAAGTGTTGGTTCAACAAATAAGAACATGTGTCCTTATACTGCTCCACCTACATATTTAGTATTTTTCTACTGAATACCATATACTGCTGTTGCTACGAAATTGGGTGTGCTGATTAATCATACATGTATTGTTAAAAAAAGCTATTATATACATCACATATTTTCAAATATACCAAAGTATTATACTATCCTAAGACTAAGAGTATTAAAATATTTTTCATCTTTTTTCACTTGTTTTGAAGACATAAGCTCTGCTCCAGGTCCTTAAAAGCATTCATAAGCATTGTGAAGATCTGATGCCATTTATAAATCAATTTTATCTATTTATTCAAACAGGACCCACAATAGAAAACATGTTAATCTTTTAAGATGTACTTATTGTACTTAGAAATAATAAGACTGAAGGTTTCTTACAACTCATATTGATCTTCTCTGACATTTCTTTGAATTGGTTGAGACTATTGAATGTAAATGATTAATCATTCTTAGGCTTCTAATCATATAATAATACTGGAGATGTCAGAAGAGGTCCTATTGACAGGTAAATTTCAAAAGGAAAAAAATAAGATTAAAAAGATATGACCTGAAAAGAACCATACTCATTCTTATTCAGAGGTTTATAATCAAAGGGAAAAGGTATTTTCAATGAAGAAGGAAAGACCTTATTGAACAAACAGAAAAACTGAATGGAAAAATTATATGAAAACTGCCTCTGCATATATAGGAAAATTTGACGTGAACTTCAAAGGTTAATCTAGTTTGTCCTCCCACCTTCCACCTCTAGGTAGTAGTGATAGGCCCGGGGCTGAACTATTCAATGTGGGATACACATGACCATATACATACACATGGAACAGACATTTGGGGGCTATATTCCATTAATTAAATATAAGTAAAGAAGATAAATAACTTTATTCTTGAACCAAGGACTTACATAGTATTTTCCTTTTGAGCTTTCACAGTCTGGTCTCTATGAAATGGTGTTGTAACAGTCAATTTGTGACCACTGAGAGGGGTGGAAGTTAAAGAAGGCATGTCCAAGTCTAAGTTTTCATGATTACTGGAAGGGTTTAGGAACTAAATATGGGAAGAAAAAAAATTACTTCAACAGTCATTCTTTATTCAGCCCAATTTAAAAACCACACCATGATAACAAGCAAGCATGTTTTACTGACCCATTATGTAAAATAATAAAGATGTTGACGACATGTAGTATTGGACAGGATATTGTTTTATTTTAACTGAGCACCAAGATTTGGAGTGTGATTTCCAAGAAACAAAATCTAGGGTCAATGCTGGGAAACTTGCAAAATCCTAAGAAAAGGTTGTCAAGAAATGACATTTGCCATTAAAGAAATGAGATGCACTCTTTGTTAAAATTAAAAGCATTACAGTGATTTTTTTTGGAAAGTAATGATTGTTTTTCTCTTATACTCTGTTTTTCTCTCTTAAATGATCTGAGACACTATTATGGAAGGTTTACATTATATGGAAGAACTCTTGAATAATAAGCTGTGTCTCAGAACAATAATGTTCTTGGAAAATAATAGGTGTTCCTCAAACAGTTCCAAGGTAAAATAAGTTTGGGAAATACACACATCATAATCTCCTCCTGGAAATTCACAGTGTATATCAGTGTATTAAAAACTCTGAGAGGTCCTGCAGTAAAGAAACCAATTTTTAACTTAGTGTGATGCTGTGTTTCCCAAACTTATATACCTATATATGTAGATGTTTTTCTGGAACATCTATTAAAATCTTGTAGAATGAATATTATCCAGAACACAACTTAGAAGATATAAGCAAAAAAGTGAGATGATTGTTTTGGTAAGTGCATCATCTGTTCATACGTAAAGCTGTTCTTAACACAAACTCAAGACATAATTGGAGAAATGTTTTAAAGTGCCAAATTATCTATTAACTTCAATTATTTTAATAATTAAGAAATATGAGTTTCTCATAAGAATTACAATTTTCATGCCTTTAAAAAGTACTGTATGAAACAATAATATCCATGCAAGTATGCACTAATAAAATATTATGGCACAACTCCAAAGAGCCAATGTTGAGAAAATGAAATTAAAACAAATTGTTTTCATTAAGCATTTGTTCTTGTCCTCTTCCCAAACTTTTCCACTTAAAGATGGAGTGGAAACTTTAAAATTTCTAGCTGTGACCCAACCATAGTTTGTTTCCCTCCTCCCCTGGGTCAGTGAACCACATGACAAGTGAATAAAGAGGCAGAAACCTGTTAAAGTTTTTAAAAGGAGGGGAAAAAAAAGAAAGAGATAGAAATGTTAAATGCTAGTGATGAAGGAAACAAAGCACATCTCATGCAACTAACCATCTTTCATATCACCCAAAAGAGAGAATTGTGAAAAAATCATCAGTCAGCCTACAGAGAGCCTAAATTTTGGGAGGAAGTATGACTTAGCAACAGCTAGATTCAACGATGGAATGAAATCAGTGAGGGCAACAGCAATTAGTCATTTGTTCCAAAGGATTAGTTTCTAGATTGTTAAGGCTCAGTTGTCTGTTGAAAATTAGTAACAGCTGTGCAGAAACTGTGCTCTACCTGTGACGGGGAGAAAGGCAGGCTTTTGACAGGGGACCGACTGGGAGTTGAACTACTGACATCAGCAAGTATGAAAGACCTAGAGTCACCAGTGGCTAAGGGGCTGGCGTGGCCCCTCCTTGTTCGAAGGATGACCAGTGGAACTGTGCTGTGCCTCGCAGGAGGTACTGGCTTGAGCGGGCCAAGTGAACCCTCACTCAACTTGCGTTTGCTAGGCTCTCTTGCAGGTCTATTCACATTGCCCTCTCTTTGCTGGAGCTGTAGGGCTTTGTCTGTGTGCTGTTGGCTAGGTGAAAAATCTGCTTCTTCAGAGAGTTCAAAACTGCTGAGGTCACACCATGATGAAGAATCCTGAAACAATGTGGGAGGCACAGAACTCTGAGACAGTGTGTGCACGATGTGTGCCATCACCCGAAACACAGCACTGAGTGTGCATGATGGTGCCATCACCCGAGACACAGCAGTGAGAAAGAGATGCTGAATGCAAAGAAAATGCCTGCCTGGCCCCCTTGTTTGATTTCCTGGGCAACAGCTCCAGGATTAACAATTGTTCTGATACCCTGCATGGTAGGCCTGCCATGCTGTCCCAAGGCCGGTCCTGCCTGAGCGACGCAGGGACCTCCGGCTACTCTAGCATTGGTGTGCAATCCAAAGAAAAAGAAAGCCTTTTCTAGATGGCACATTTAGCAGTGTTCATCCCTGTCTGATGGGTATGCAATAAAAGCTTTTTGACCAACTAGGAAACAAAGGAAATGGATTGAGTGTCTGCTTTTGAGGGGCTGGACTCGAGTCCGTTTCCCTAAAGGTGGTTTGTCTCAGTGAACCAGTTGGGACCAGCAATCAATAAGCAATTTTTTGTGGAGAAAGCCATGCACCACCAGTGAACTTATTGTCACGTCAAACATATTGAAAGATTTCTTTAAGCTCTGAGTAAATATAACTGTTAATGTGCTATCCAAAAGCAAAGCACAATTCTAGAGAAACACAAAGAAGTAAAGAAATTAAAAGATAAAAAAATACCTCAAAACATCATTCCCACAACCCAAGCTCTATTGTAGGTCATTAACTTCACTATTTTAAAAAATATGCATTTTGAAGGAAATGTGTGAAAAACTACCTTTTATCTGGGTAGCGTATGAAATCAGACCTTTGAAAAAACTTACACACAAAGACTAAAACCATACTTTCACCTTTACATTAATATATGCTAACAACATGATAGTTGCTATAGAAAATGGCAATGATTTGAGAAATGTGTTTCCTCATTCCCCTTCTAAAAACATTAACTTGCCTTAACAATTCTACTTACAGAATCTATAAACTGAAGTGTTTCTGCAAATTCTAAGAGGTTCTTAACATTATCCAGAATGGCTCCTTGGTGGACGATCATGCACCTCGCTGGAGAGGCGCTTTCTTCAGGTAAGGAGCCAGGATCCACAGGCAGAGAGGGAGTGGAGTGGTGTTCTTCCAAACAGGAAACAGGTGCACTGTCTCCATGAGGTCTGGTGTGGTCGGCAATGGTGGTGCTGTGCCACCCGGGGTAGCTGCATGTGTGGTTCTGTGTCTAAGGAGGGGGCGGGGGAATAAAGAAAGAGCGGGGAGAAGAAAGGGAGAAGGAACTTAGCAATGAAGTTGCACAAGGTATCAGATGCTGTTGGAGGAAAGATAAAAGTAGTTGCATCATCCAGAACTTGCGCCTATAAAACAGTTGTCAAGATGTTTCCTTTTATCAATGCAAGACCCTGCTTTTTAATAGTTGTATAGTCTATCATCCACACAATTACCTTAATTGTCCTCCCTTTGTTAAAAATGCAAATAAAGGGACTGTGTTATATAAAGCACAACCCTCGCATGGAGTTAAAAATCTACTTTTACGTAATTTCCAATAGGATCGAAAATATTTGCTGTGAATTAAGATTTCTCCTATTCTCTTTCTAACCTCCCTAAAGGCTGGAAAATGCAAGGGTTTGAGTTGCTTTTATCTGGATGTATTCTTGTTGCTGCTATCCCTTTCTAATGCAAAGGATTGCGCTGAGGCAATGAAGGGCTGCCAAATCAACGTGGTTAGGAAAGCAGAAGAGCGAAGTAACAGAAGTCTCCTTTCAGCATGACCACGCAACAGGAGAAATTGCAAAACATTCAAGTTAAGAAGTGGTCAAGCTAAAATATGCATTTTAGCATATTTTAGCATGACCACAGAATCATTTTAGTATTTAACCAAAAAACATTTACTCTGTATCACATCTCTTTTATTCTCTCGGCTGGTTAACTACCTATACTATGAAGTACAAGCTGCTTTCCCAGTTTGCTGCCCAATCACTAAAAAAGATGTCAAAATCCAGTCATGGTCTGCACGGCTTTCACGTGTGCAAACAAAAGAGAGTGGCTAAGTTATTGATGGAGAGAGTGTGTGTATCTTTTTCAGAGGTAGACACTAAGCATGCATCAAATCATGTTTGAAATTATAAAGTATTAAAATCCAGGTTAAGAAAAATAATAAAGAAAAAATGAAATGAATAGGCATCATACAGATACAATGCTTTGTAAAAAATGCATATTTTCATTCTTTTTATATCTGATAGTCTTTGAATTGATTATATTCCTTCTAAAGAAAAAAAATCAATGAGGATAATCACTAATAGTTATTGAGTTTCTATTGTAACATAAAAGACCACTTCCAATTTAGTCAACATCCTGATACCAACTCTGTTTTGGCACAAGCAACTTCCCATGTTTAAGCATGGTTAATAGATACACAGAGTCTTGATTACGTATTATGTAGAAGAGAAGGGAAAAGACACAGAACAACACTGGAATAAAACTGCTATCCCCCCATTTAAGCACCCAGTGACATTCTTACTGGAAGCGCCTGCTGCCCTTTGAGTTCATTCTCAGTCGACATTAGGAGCAACTCTAGTTCCTTTATTCGCTTTTCTTTCTCAGGGTCTTCATCATTATAGTGTCTCTGAAATGGAAAGTTAAGAGAGAAAAAAAGACAAGAGCCTGATTAGAAGCTGTAAACACAATGGCTGTCCCCGCAGTCATGAAGGAACACAGTAATAGAGCCTGGCATGAAACCAGAGCCAACTGAATGTGGCCACTGTAGAAACCTTTGTGAATGCTGTTCTCCATGTAAGGAGGCGATGTGAGATCTGAGGCTAAAGTGGATGCGGACTGATGGGTTGTTTATCACATCAGAGAGTCTGAGAATCCCTGAGCAAACTTGATCAGAAGTAGAGTGGTAGGTGGCTGGCTGGAGCTCCAACCTCCTCCCTACCCACCCCTTCTCTTTTTATTTCAGTTGGTCAGGTGACAATAAATGTTTAGAAGAAATAAAGCATGTCTCAAAAACGGCACCTTAAACAGCCGAGTTTCTTTATGAAATGACCTTAAAATGATCCTACCTGAATGGCTGCAGCAGCTGGCTGAGGAACATTGACTATATTGACATGTAACGCGACAGGATATGGGACATGACCGGAGACCTAGACAGAAAGGCAAAACAAAGGACGAGTCATTCATGGTTACATATGCTTCAGGGGACTTGGCTTCCTGAGGATTTGCTCAAGGACTAAGAAAAAATAAAAAACTTCACTGATCAGATTCACATTAAAAAAAAAAACCCAACAAAAACCTCTAATTTGAAATTTTAGCCAGGCGTTTAATAACAGCTGAAGAGCTAAAGCAGCATAGTGAAAGAAATTTGAAGTGCTTATCAACCCTGGCAGGAAGTATTCTTTAACTAGAGAAAAACACAATGAAAAATGAATCTAAAATACATTCATAAATGCATGGAAGGAGTTTTGGTGGGAAAAACGGATGGCATTAGCTATACATAAATAACACTTTTTTCTCTGGGAATAATGTGAATTTTAGGAAGTAGCACAGAACACTTATGATAGTTCATTCACCTGAGATCTTTTGGAAAGCCTGTAGTCAAATATATCTCAAAACTCTTTACAAACATATTTTGCATAGAATTTGCATAGGAGCTCTATATTCTTGGGTAGATTTCACCTTTTCTTATTATTAATTTTAAGATTAGAGTTCTCAATTTTTTTCTTCTTTATTCTTCTCCTTCCACCCACTAAGAACAATTCTTTCCCTAAGTATACAAATATCGGGAAATGAAGAAGGAATCACACTGGTCCAAGGGGGACAAAAGGGGAAACCAGAGAATAGTGCCACAAAACTGCCCCAGACTTGGAGTAAGACAGTAAACACAACATGAATAAATCAAGACATTTCTTTTTGATTACTGCCAGAACGGAACTTAAAATTATCTGTTGAATTTCAGTGTTGAACTATCTCCTCTTCAAATGTAATATTACACTCACTTTCACTTTGGGAGAGAAAAAAATTTGACGGCGCCTGCACTCCCAACCCCTCATTCTTCTTCAGCAGGACCTTAAGTAAGTTTACATTCAAAAACTAACATCAAATTAGATTAGAAGCCAAGTCAGAATCAAGCAACTTGGATTCTAGTCTGCACTGCCTACAGAGTTGTGTAACACTGGACAAATCACTTACTACCCTTGTTTCCAGAAACATATCAGGAAGAACAGTATCCACCCCTGTTTATAAAAGCTCTCTGAAAAGCATGAAACCGCGGGGTGTTATTACCTGGAGCTAAAATAACCATCTGTCTCGTTAAACAAAATTCTCAGGAGTGGCTTACATTTTGTGCTTCAGAAAGGTGGTAATATGAATAGTCGTTGTTCACCGAGGGCTGACTGGTTGGAGAGAGTTGAGCTGAAGGTGGAGCATGAGCAAAACCCATCAAATGACTGTTCTTCTGGAAACTTGTGGCCACAGTTGGCTGGCTGGCTTTGGAAGACTCCTGCAGATAACCTTCCTGTTCAACCTTCCGACGCATGGTAGAATTCCAGTGGTTCTTGATTGCATTATCAGTTCTGCACAGAAATATATCACATACAAATTTCACGAACAAAAATTTCAATTCAGATTAGAGTTAATTGACAGAAAACTGTTTCTAAGAGAGACCTTCCCTTTGGTCCATAGTGTCTTTCTTTTTTTTTTTAAGCATTTCAGTTGTTTCTGCATTCTAAAATCATGCCTCCCCTATTCCCTAATTAAAAATCCATTCATGTCTCTTAATTACATAATATGCAGTTGCAGTTTTCTATAAATATTGAAATCCTTTAACCATTTTCTTTCTTTGGTGAGGATATTTTCAATACAACACTTCATGTTGGTTCTGACTGTGGTACAGGACTCCAATACAACTTCAAGTCCCAGCTGTCCTAGAAAATGACTCCCTTGAGTTTGGCCTAGCGGGGCCGGCACATACAGCACAACAGGCACTCAGTAAAGTCAGGTGGAGGATAATGATGCTGCTGCCACCTCACTGTCCTCTCTTTATCTCCAATAGCACTAGCTAGAAATTTTGAGTGAGAAGAACTCCCACCTTTTGAAAACCACCTCAAATCGTTCTGTTAACCAGACAGAGGTGAGAACGGAAAACCAGATCCAGAAGAGAAAGATGCTAACTTCCAATATATTTTCAAACTGCAAAGCATTTTTTACTAAAGTCTTTCAATTCTCAGGGAAACAGTTTCTCAATTCAAAAAAACCGTTTTAAGCCTCCTTTTTACTATTTCGATGGGGGTTGGGAATGTATGCTAAAGAAAGAGGAAGTTCAGTCGCCCCTTAATTTTTTAGATGAATCAACAGCATATCCTCTCAGACCATATGGGAGAAAAGGCTCCCTTTTATCAATCTCTTGGATTCCCTAAGCTTATACGGAATCGCCAGGGAGGAAATGCTTTGGACCATCACAAGAGAATACTACCAGTCAGAACCATGGCCTTCTTTGAAATGACCCTTCCTCCACTTTTGGATTATAAAGCTCAAGAACAAAAATATTTAAAACATTTTGACTTACATATTTTTTATGTAAGCTTTTACAAAAAAGTGTGTTGTGGTTGTTTAAATAGGGAAGGTGGACAAAAATGAGCTTCCATACATGTCCCTCATAATGAGGTCATTTTTGTGCCTTGTTCACTAGACAGCAAGCATAACTCTGACATTACTTAAAAATTTGGGAGCAGTATGTTAATCGAATAAATACACTATTTCTTCCTCAAAAATAAAAGAAAAATTAAGCCAAGTGGTATAATGAAATGCTAGTATCAGGGAAATGATGGCCGAGGTCCTCTGTTTCACTTAACCAGCTATATGAACCCAGGCCACAGACAAACTGTCTCTCTCAGCTTCCTTCTATATGTTTAGAGTTTTGTAGTTTACAAAGTGCTTTGACGTTTATGTTACTTGATATTAATAGTGGCCCTGTGAACTATGTTATTACTCATTAAAAAAAATGAGGAAACTGAGGCTGAGGAAGGTTCAATGAGTTGGCCCAAGGCTCACTGTTGGGCGGACTCTGGAAGCACTCAACCAGATAAACTCTAAGATCTCTGATTCTAAAAGCTATGGCTCTGGTTTAACTAATGAAACGCTTAACGATTGATGGAATATAATTCACTCACCATACATTTAAAACAATCTGTTCAACACCCATTCCCTTATACTTCCCAATCAATATATTTTTTGACATATTATTACCGTCCAGGCAGTAGCTTTGCGATTTCTGCCCATCTGTTCCCCAGTCTCTTGTGTGCCTGGTAAATAATTCTGTCTTCCTCTTCTGTCCAGGAGGTTTTCTTAACTTCTGGATTCAAGTGGTTATGCCACCTCTCCCTACATTGTTTTCCAATTCTCCCCTTTAAGTGCTTGGCAATAACAGACCAACGTTTCGGACCGTATTTCTGTACAAGCTCTATCACCTTCAGATAAACACACAAAAATAACCTATGTTTTAATGTTATGTAATGAGTCAGTGTAATCATTCTTTTACAAGATCTTTAGAAAATTTCTAAAACTCTGCTTTCATTCATTGACAAGATAGGAATAGAGTCCTCTGCTTCCTGTTTGCACACTGTACCTGTTTCTTCAAGTTAGGAAACATTCGACAAGGGCATTTGGGGAATATTCACGATTGTGACTCACATGCCAATGAGGAAGGAACTTACCCTCTGATCTTCTTCTTTGGTCCATGGACCCTTGATGAGCTCAGGGTTTAGTACTTTCTGCCATCGGTGCTGGCACTGCACATCTGTTCGATTCTAGACAAAAAAGAGTATGCGTTGTCATAAGATATGATGGGATAAGTGCACGTGAAGACTTTGTTATAATAGGTATCATGCACAGATAACATACAGTGAATGTGTTCCAGAGCATGCTAGAATATGTTTGGAGAGCTCATCTATCCCTCATTACTTACAGCTAAAGCGCCTATGAATAATATATCAAAGTTGCATCTTAAGTGAGAAGTTCTGCCTCCTGAGGGCAACAGTCCTGCCGTATGAACAAAAGGACCATCACATTGCATATACGGCTGTGAATTTAACCTAACTTTAACCTGAGTTTTTTGCATGTGGAAGTATCTAGGTCTAAGATTAAGCCTTGTTAGAGATTCCATATTAAGGTCAAGCTTTTACGGAAACCCACTCAAACGACTCCCATTCAAACTAAGAGATGTGCTTCCATTTAAGGCCACAACTGTTAATATTTTAGAACAAAGATGAAAAAAGATAGGTCCTACCTTGTAGGAGCTTGTAATCTTATAAGAAGGAAAAGACAAATACAAGAAGGCAGAATTTGATTCATAGGCAAGAAGAAACTAAACCAAAATGATATTTGAGTGGAAAAAGGAATGCTTCCCTAGGAGGAGTCTGGGAAAGTTCTTGATACAGACTTTGAAGGACATGAAGTGACTATGCAAAACATTCTAGGTGGTGGCATCGCCCAGAACAAAAGCCCAGAGGGAAAGCAGCCATGAGCTCAACTAAATGTGGTAACGGAGAGGAAGTCAGAAACAGCCCTGGAGCTGTACGCTGGGGCCCCATGGGAGGACCTGCAGGCCAGGGCCAGGCAGAGCCCTTGATTTGCGAGACAAGGTCATTGGTGTTGGTTTTGAAAAGACAGGGCACAGCTGCATTTTAGGAAGCTTCCTCTCTAAGGGATAAAAAAGTGGAAAGCTCTAAGCAGGCAAGCCAGTTTGGAAGCCATTGTAATCATCCAGGGAAGAGGGGAGGGGGCTGGAACAGCGAGGAGAATGAAAAGAAGGCACTGCTGAGGGAAGGATTCCAGAAATGCCTAGGTGCAGGGCGGGGAGTGAGGCGAGTCTGGAAGGTCTCTGGGATTTTAAACCGCGGTATCAGAAGTATGGCTATTAAAAAAGATAGGAAACTTAAAAGAAGCTGACTTGGGGGGAAATGTCACAAGGTTAGTCATCTACCCTGTAACAAATCACGAAAGTGATTATTTATATTATCCTAACAAAGAAAAAGATACAATAAGAAGCAAAAATTTAAAATGTTATAAAATGCTTTAATAATAATATTTAAATACCCTAATTATATGTATTACAATATACACTACAAGTTATGGGTAAGGAATTTCTACTACTCTGTCTACTTCTTATATATAAGCAAGTATGTAATGTCTTAATATATGCTCCCAAAATACCTTACCCTTACTTAAAAATCTTTGTAAAATTTCCTTTTACAAAAAGAAAAAATTACTGACTTACCGGGAGATAATTGGCAATAACTTTCCAGTCATCTGTTCCATTCTGTTCCACCAGCTTCTTTAGTTTTTCATCCTAAGACATTTAAAGGCAATCCTAGGATATCAATCATTTACAGTACAACTCTACTTGAGTAAAGGGAAATCAATCTAATAAACTAATTCAGAAAAAAAACCCTCTCAAAATATACAATTACACTAATAATTAACATAATATACTGGTTTAGAGCATAGGTTATTTTAAAGTTAGAAAGACCAGAGTCTGAATCTTGACTCAGTTATTGATTATAGTAGTTGGATAAGCTTGGGTATATAAATTTGCTTTTCTAGGCCTTAGTATTGTCATCTCTATGTAGGAATGATGATGTCAACAGGGTTATTTAGGGGTAACATTCAGTAACTATGCAAAACATTTAGCATAATGCCTGGCCCATTGAATGTTTACTATATGGTAACTGTTAAAAGTTTTACTCTGTGGGAAAAAAAGTGAACTCCAATGTCATATTGAAGACATTTAACTATGGCAATAGATAGGATCTTGAGTAAGAAATAGTTCAACCACTATTCTAACATTTAGTTAGTTCAACATCTTTCATATAAGAAAATAAAAGATCACTTTTCTAAATTAAACTTGAAGGCATGTATGATGTAAGAAAATCATTTAGTTTTTGAATCAAGGTATTCATAATTCAAATTTATTAGAACACAGAACTTACTAGAGCAAACTTATTAGAACACAGAAGACACTAAATATCGGGGGGGGGATCTTTCAGTTCACTCTTTCTAAACATGTTTTATCAATTGAAAGAGGACCCTCGCTTTCTGCAAAGGTAACTTCACACACATTGTGGGTCCTTGGTGTGGCACAGATGTGGGAGTTAGGAAACTAGTGTTAACAACAGAACTCTCTATCTCTAAGGACCATCTGGGCCAAACTCTCCAAAGGTAAAATATGCATTATCTATGGACCTCTCTGGTTGATGGACCATAGGAATCCTCCATAGGAATCCTCCTGCCTGCCTGTCAAGGGGAGCTCTGGTTTAAGTGAAGTAGGGTGGAATGAAACTGAAGAAGAGTCAATGCCATTAAATCTGACACAAAATCTGTTTAAGATAAGTTGCAAAATTTTTGAAACGTTAAAGAAAAAGCAACTTTCCACATATGTTAATAATTTTTCTCCTTAAACACTCATTCCTATAAAGATTAAGCTTTCGATAAGCTATCAGAAAAAGGTAAGAAGCAGATGTATCTTCTTTTATTATTTATTGCTTTTAGAACAGACCTTCATGTATATGGCTCTGTGAAATACTATATATTATATATCAAGAATGTTAAATGAGCCCTGGTTGGTGTGGTTCAGTGGACTGAGTTCTGGTCTGCAAATCGAAAGGTCACTGGTTCGAGTCCCTCTCAGGGCACATGCCTGGGTTATGGGCGAGGTCCCCTGTTAGGGCAGTGTGAGGGGCAACAGATCGAAGTTTTTTCCCCTTTCTTCCTCCCTCTCTTCTCCTCTCTCTAAAAATAAAGATAAAAAAATTTAAAGGAAAGAATGTTAAAAGAATCCTTTATAACATGACAAGTTCTATGAGAGTTTTGCTTTATTCTTTTGTTTGTTTTGTTTTTGGAAATAGCAATTCATCTGCTTATTCAGGGAACATTTGTTAATAGTCCATTTTGTGTCAAGCAGTTTTGGGTTCAGGGAACGTAAAAGTGAACAAATGTGTAGTTCTGCCTTCAGTAGACTTGTTGTCTACTGGCAGAGGCATATATGTTACAGCAACAATAGTAAGAACATGTATCCAAGGACTGGAGGATGCACCTAACCTGTATGGGAAGCGAGGGATGGCTTCACAGGAGAAGTATCTTTGCAGGTAATGAAGGAGTAGTAAGAAGCTGTGGAGCAACAGGACAAGAAGAGAATAGTAGTGGGCAACACAGATAAAGTAAGAAGGAGAGGACGCTTAACTACAAAAGGGTTGGAAATTCATGGTATAGTGTACATATGGGGGAGTGGTGAGAGGTAAGTATGAGTATGGATACATTCCATAGTCATCCACAAATGGATACATTCTAGTTTCTTCTCATGTTTTATTGACATGATTAGTTACCTCTTCCCTGGTCCACCTAGTTTTCCCCAAGTGACGCTTTCCGGACTTGGGAAGCAGCCCATCGTAGTCATGGTCACACATCTCAATGTCTTCATCATCCTCGTCACTACTGTATATGCTGCAGAAATTTTTAAAACAAAGGGCAGATATGGACTGAAACAAGAAGATTTAAACTACTGGACTGCAAAACTTACACAAAAAACTCCTCAGCAACCTTTTCAAAGGTTATGACGATAAAACTTTGAACACTTGCACAACAAGATTGTTTTCTGCATTCTGTTGCTCTAGTATTGTAAACTGGTTCTGCTGTTATTGGTCTCCACAGATACAGCAAAGGACCTGGCACTTTCTTATTGCTCTGCATGTTTAAACCTGCTGTTACTGTTAGACCAGTGACAAGTTACACATTTGGCAACCCTCCAACCAATGAAGGTTTAAGTTTAAAACTTAATGTTAAGGACAATAAAAGGAATGAGAGCACATGTCCTTTTTATAAGTATACACTCAAGATCAAGATATGCCACATCACTTAAATAATATTTCTCAAATATAATAAGCAACTTGACTATATTGTTCCAGTGGGACTGGTGTTTTATAAGAGGAAAAAAATCAGGAAGTAATATACTCCACAATATAATTATAGTCATCCCTTAAAGATTAGAAGATTAAGAGAATCTAAGAGGAAAGGATTTAAAAATCTGAGGAAGGATAAAAACAATCAAGTGATCTGCTTTGTAAATAACATTAATATCATACAGTCCAAAACTACAGGCTAGATTGATCCAGCTTGTGTTCATGTTTACAATACTCAGTTTCCAGAGTAACTAAGTGAATAATGAGGCCACTTGGTAGTCAGAATCTTATTTACTCTTTTGTTCTTTCCTACCTCTTATGAAATGGTATTTGAAATATCTTAAAATATACCTAATTCAAAACTGAGATAGTCCCCCAGATGGGTTTAAAAAGAACCCATTACTGTCTTCAAAAGAGACTTTTCTTTTACCTAGTTGACCAAAACTTTGATTTTGGATGACTTTTGAAGTTACTATATACTTAATGTTTATTAATCATATACTGAATTATATACTGTAATTTTACAGTCCCAACTTACTAGTACTTATAAAATTAAGACATGAAAATTATACTTAGAAATCTCACTAAAATGTATCATTGTAATATTGAGAAATCCATGAAACTGAGACCAATACAATAATACTATAAAGCAATACCATAATGCAACTTATTATTTTTAAAAAGGGAGTTTATATTCATATCAGATTTGTCTTTCCAAACTAACTTGCAAATTACCTTATCCACCCTTTTTAAGTCAAGCAAAAGTGCTTACCAAAAATCCTGAATTTGAAGTTCTTATAATTCAAAACTATTATTTTGGGCAATAATCTGAAGGTCCAAGATGCATGGTGACAACTAGGATGTGACCCAAATGTAAAATGCCATCACAAGAAAAGGCCATTAAACTGTATTTATAATCTATAACCATTTCTTTCATTTAGTATCAATCCCTTCAAACAAGAGACTAATCCTGTTCTGCAGTGTCAACAAGAGGCTCTTAACTTCTGGTCAATTATTACAATAGTTTCCCTTTAATAAAAAAAACACAAGCATCCTAAGTGAACAGATTGTTAGAAGCCCAGAGCTGTAGGTCAGCATCTTTTGAAAGGTTCCCAGGGAACTCCTTGGAAATCCCCGAAATGAAGGGGCATCCTTGTGAAATATCCGGGAGACCAAGAAAATCAAAATAAACTGAAAGTGGAGCCATGGATTCAACTCGATTTAACTTTTTAGGTTTGGCGGGACCTGGAGATCACATTTTCGGAACTCTCCTCTCTCTTGGAAACAGCTCACAACCCGGGAACAACCAACATATTCAGCCGCCCATAGGGGGCAGCCAACATCAGCGGCGAGAGAAGAGGCAGCCCCGAGCAGGACTAGGGCTCTGGAGGCGAAGATGCCGGTCCTCGCTTTGCCTCCACCTAGCTGCGTGACTCGGACAAATCACTTCCTCTCTCTCAGGACCTCAGTTCCTCGCGTACACAAAAAGGGCTGGGGTTCTATTTCTAAGGTGCTTTCCAGGGCTAATAAATAAGGATTCCATGTCTCCCGTGCCTCTTAAGACTTAAGCACAGCGGCAGAGATGTGCAAAATCAGAGTCTTGAGGGGAAACGTGATGGGACTTCTGCAGGTCTTGGTCCCGAAGAGGCCGGGACGGGCGCAGAGGGAGCCAAGGGCTGCTCACACCGCGCCTGGGACCGTCCTCGGGCTGGGCAAGGGGTCTTGCCTTTGAGATTTGCGTGCAATTTCCTTGCTCTAAGTTGTCCCCGGTCGCCTAAGCAGCATGATTAATTTCTACTAAGGGCCTGAAATAACTTTTCCTTTATCTGCTCTGACAAGATCTCAGACCCAACAGTCAGAGAACTTTCAAAGGCTGATTTCAGGCTTGATGCACTCGACTCCCCCACCTGCTAGACCCGGTGTGGTTACAAGTACAACTATGAATGTTACATTCTGTCAAGGAAACAAACCGTGCAAAGAAACGAAAAAGACAAGAGGTGTTGGGGGTTGGGAAGAGGGAGGGGAGCGGGAGGAAGTGCCTTGTGGCCGATTCTGTGATTCTAGAAAAGGGGTTCAGACTCATTTCGCTGACCTGGTTAATAATCCCTGCCGAGTTGACGCTAGCCCTGCAAGAAACGGCTCCGGGCTCGCAGCCGGGTTTCTCTTCCCCCTGAGGCAGGTTCAAGGTTCCCGCCCCTCCAGGCCTCCTCCCCCGCTTCGCTACCTGGGAGCCTCAGGGAAAAGAGAGGCCCCGCCCCGCGGGGACAGGCTACCGCTCCGGCGCGGAGTCTCCACCGCGCCTCTTCTCCGCTACCCTTCTCAGCTCTCCTCCACCTCCTCCCAGTTTCTGCTCTCAGAAAAAAAGAGACGACCTCGGCTCTCTACTGTTAAGTCCCAAAAGCGAAGGTGAAACCACTTAAGGAGCAGCACCCGCGCCCTGTTCTGCTGGACCCAGGGCGAGGCGTAGGGACCCAGGGCCCCCCAATTCGCCTCTCCCTGGCGCGCAGACAGGCTTCGGCGCTGCGCCCCGCTCCGCCAGATGGGGTCCGAGGGTGCTGCTGCAGGGCCCGCACCCACGCTCATTGCAACTTCCCAGGGCTGCACGGGTGCCAGCAATCGCCGGTTCAAAAACAATAAGTACGATATAATTCAACAACCCAGGAGAAAAGAGGCTGGGTTTGCTGTGTCCCCAGGGACTTTATCCCAGAACCTCTTCGCTAGGGTCGGTCCGATCACCCCTCCTCTGCTCCGGCGACCGGAGGTGGTGCGAGCAGAGTGCGGGCAGGAGCCGTGACCTCAGCCGCGTCCACGTGTGCGCGCCGCGCGCGGACCTCTAGCCATGGGAAGAGGCCACGGGGACTGCGTCTCGGTTGCGAGGCAGCGGCCTTGGGTGCTGCCCGCCTCCGTCCCTTTCCGTTGAGTGGCAACCGTGTCCGCCGCGGAGCTAGCCCCCAGACCCCGCAGCTCTTAGGGAGCCCGGGCGCGTCCGGCCGGGGAAGTCCAGAGATGGGTTTGGAAGCGCGAGCGCCAGCAACTGACAGTTCGGACAAGCGTTTCCCTTCCTCTCTGTTCCCCTTCCCCTCCGTCCGCCTAAAAAGTAAGGGGACTTCATCCACCCATCCCAAGTGCGGTGACATGTGTGGCGCGGGCGCCTGTGCAATGTTTGTATTAGAAATAGCCTCCCGGAGAATAATGATTACAACCTTCAAAACCAGAGTTTAAAACAATGTTGCAAACATAGTGACTCTTTTCCTCCCCTAAAATCTTTTTTTTTCCAGCCGTCTGTCAGCTGACGCTCATCTTCGACTCCATAAAGAATGAATGAAACCTAAATAACTACCTGCAGCTACTAAACAATCCGGCATTTTCCCTGTATCTGCCATATGCTCTGCATTTCCAAGTCCAAACAAATAGTAATGCACCCAGCAATTACGCTGCGAATCCCTCGCAGGCACCCGCGGCATCAAGCCAGGGACCCACTCAGTTTTCAGGGGCTGGTGGGCACCATTCTGCACCCCGGCTGTAACGCGCTGCTTTTTCTCTCTGAGAGAGAAATGTATCCCCGTGCAACTTGCAAAACGAGCCGCAGGGCGTGCTTCCCGACGTCCTGATATATTTCCTGCACAGACTTTTTCATTCATCAGTCTTTCCAGCGGCTACTGCTGCGGTGGCAGAGGCTCTAGGTCCTCGCAGGATCTGACAGCCCCGCACAAGATCCGGGAACGCATTCCCACCTGCTCTCCGAGAGTCTGACGCCCCGCGCGCCCCCACCTGCGGCCGCCCTCCCGGGCTCCCCGTTACCTGTGCCGGGGTCTCCGGGCCATGGCGCGGCGGGCGCGGGGCTCAGCCGGGAGCTGCGGGGACCACAAGGGGCTGCAGCCTCCCGCTGCCCGCCGCCTGCCTGCGTCCCTACCCGGCTGCGCTGCGGCGTTCCGCACTGCCGGGCCGAAGTTTCTCAGGAGAAAAAGGAGGAGGAGGAGGAGGAGGAGGTCGCGGAGGAGGAGGAGAAGGAGGAGGAGGAAACAGGTTGATATTAAAGTGTAAACTCTGTAAACAGATGCCATCAAACAAAGAGCTTTGGACACTCCCCCTCCCGCCAAATCTGGCGCCCCTGCAGTGCGCACGCGCTCTGCCCGCCGCCTCAGCGGTCGCCTAGGCTGCCGCCCGCCCGGCTGCCTGGCTGGCCCGGCTGCCTGGCTGGCCCAGCCGCCGCTCCCCTTCGGTTCTCGCGCCGCGGTGCTACTCCTGGCGCGCGGCGAGGCCTGGGCAGCGCGCGGGCGGGGAGCCCGGGGCCAGGGAGGGGTGACCGGGGGCCGCGGCGGCGCCTTTTCGAGCGCAAACCCCGCTCCTCGGCTGCGGCCGGGAGGGCCCGCGCCACGGCGCGCGGATGCCGCCTTCCTCCCGTTCGGCGGCCACACCACTTTCGCCCCTCTCGGCACGCTCCGGGGCACCAGAGCCGGAGCTGGGCTCTGACTCAGTGCTGCGGGGGCGGCAATAGGTGCGCGGTTGGGGTTAGGGGTGACTCCCGCGTTGGGGATTGGATTTTTAGGCCGGGTTTAAAACTCAGCTCTCTGAAGATGGGGGAATTAGGCGGGGGTGATCGTAGTAGCGGATGGGACCATGTGTTTTCATAGGATGTTTGATTGGGTCCTTTTTAAGTTTTTTTAAAATAAAGAACATCTCTAATTTAACTCGTTAGTGACGAAGGACCCAAATTTCGGGTAGAACTGGAGTGATCACTGCTCATTTGTGGGACACTCCGGCTTTGACTCCTCACCTAGATCCTGGGGGTGACGCGCCACCTTCGCAGAGTCACATGCCCTTCACTCTCACCGGGGCGCACGCCCGGCCCCACCCACCGTGCCCAGCCCAGACAGCGCCCACCGCACGCCTCTGCCTCTGCACAACTCTGGGAGCGCACTCCCTGGATTACACACCTGCAAAACCCACCAGTGTCCAAATGACCTGCCCCTAGCAGAACTCAGAAAACCCCATGTTTGCGTGCGTGGTTTTAAAAGTTAAACAATCTGTAATACGGCGGTCGGCACCCAAGCCTAGCGTAGTTTGAGGACTGCTTCACTAGATAAAAATCACTCAAAGTTTATGTTCATTTAACTAGGGGCTCCCTAAGAAGTAAAGAGAGAAGATAAGTGCTGAATTTATAAGGATTGGTGATTGGGGGATTTTAGGGGAGTTTTAGTTTTACTTCCGTTTATACACTTGTACCATTGGGGATTTTTTTTTTTTTCATTCTCTGTACACACTAATTTATTTTTCCTTTAATCTTATAGGAGTTTGAGACTTATGCTGACTGGGTTTGTGGGTGTCCCATGTGCCCCAGCAGTTCAAACTTAGCTCAGAAAGCATTTTTCTTACTAAAAAAGCATTTTCTTACTGAAATGAGTCATAATTTTATTAAATGGTGAAGTGTGTTAGGTTTCAAGACTTTGGTGTTTAAACTTTGTTTCTTAAAAATTGAAATATAGTCTAAATCCTTAACAAAAAATGTTAGTTGCTAGTAAGGTTTTAACATTCCTTTCTTCATGAGAAAAAATAACACTGAAACAAAACTATTTTTGTTATATTGTGAAATATATTGTGATATATTTCAGTTCACAATTCTAAAAGACAAGTCACTTTTAGGTTTATATATTTTCAAAGCCAGTATTTATTTCTAGGTTCTGTAATAAAGTTTCTCTATATCAAAAATAAACACATTTAAAAAATATCTAGAACAAACATCTAGAAACCATCCCTAAAAGAATCGCATTCTGTTTTGGGGAATACTTTATGATTCTAACTGGCATGATTCCCGAACACTGAGCCTCTGACACAATGAGAATATCTGAACCCCTCCCAAAGCGAGTTAATAGCCTCTTTCCCAAGATCCTTAGGAGTTAAAACTGCTCTATGATTCCTGAATTCCTTTTAAGTAGAAAGATACCAAATTCCTTTATTCCCTTTGTGCATTATTTTCCTATGCTTTGTTTTGAGAATTTATAATATTTTCATTCCTCAGACATTTTGGGATATTGGTTCATGTTTTTCTTCATATGGGTGACAAAAATATATATGGGGACAAGCTTAGTCCAATAAAGAATATACATGCAATAATTCTTGCAAGGCTAACTTGGAATACCTTGTCACCTGGTAATTATATGGAAGGATAGACTATGATGGAGTTTCCATTAATTCTTATGTGTATAAAATATATTTTTTCAAAAACATTGCAGAATGTGTACTGTAACTATATTTCCTTTATCCACATGTATTACAAACACATTTTTAGGTGATTTTATATATTTTTCATTACTCTCAGTTTTTTTCTTTTTTTAAGTGCTGCATCAGTTATTTTAGTTGTGGCAGCACTAAGATAGGGCCAACTTTAGACACAGGCTTTTATTTGCAATGCATTAGGCAGAGGTTAGTAAACTTTCCTGTGAAGGGACAGACTGTATGTGTTTTCGACTTGGTTGGCTGTGTTGCCTACTCCTTCTCCAGTGTCCGTCCGTCCTTCCTCCTTTTTAACCAATCCCTTAAAAATCAAAAACAATTTTTAGCTCAAAGGCCATCTCAGCCCTGCAGGCCATGGTTGGCCAACACTGAAACAGAGACCCTCGATCTCTCATGTGTATCAGAATTGCTGGGTGTGCCCATGAAAAAACGCACAGTCCCAGGTAGTCTTCCTGGAGACTCTGATTCAGTAGGTCTGAGGCAGGGCCAGGAATCTGCATTCTAGACAAGCACGTAAATGGCTATGACAGAAGAGGTTTCCAGACCACTGACTTATGGTCTTGATATTAGAGTGCCGGCAGGATGGTCGATACATGTTTACCTTTGCCAGCCATCTCTTAACCACCTTCTCCTACTTCATTCTTTTTCACCTCTTTTGGACTAAGGATTCAGGCTCTCAAAAATCCAAAAGAACTCAAGTCCATAAGAAAGTACATACCAAGTGGCCACTGGGCTCAGGTGGCCTATTCCTTCTTCCTTTACCACTAAACTTTAGGTCATATGAAATTTGAAAGAAAAAGGAATCATTTGCTAATTGTCATTATGATTCTCCTTGGGAAAGCAAACACTTAAAGCATTTTATTTTACTCTAAACATTGGGGAAGAGTTGATGGAAGAAAGATGTATAAAAGATACTTATTCCCACATTTTTGCTTCTGATTGCTGGGAAATCCTGGGCATGTGGTAGATCTTTAATACCTGTGATCAGTGTACCAAAAATGAATGAGTTTTATCAATGATGGTGACAGACCAGGTTTTAGGGACTCTATGTCTCCAACCTCCTTTTCCCCATCCCCTCAACACAATTTGGTTTTCAGAGCATTAAGAGGGAAATAATTACAGTAAACAGCAAATATTGAAAATACAGGCAATTCTTGATCGTTTCAGTTAATGAAAGATAGAGAGCTGGAGCATGTATAATTGAACACCATAAGTTTGAGATAAACCTCATGTTGACTCACAGTAAACCTTTTAGTAATAACCATGGGAGAAGTGCAATGATTCCTAGAGCCTCCATATGAGATAGTGGCCAAATAAACAGTTCCTTGGTTTGGCATTTCCTGTGTGTTTTCACCCTCCTGATTCTCATAAACATATATTCCTATGACAGCAACCTGCATATTTTCATTGCCATATAAATGGAGTCTTGAATATAAGCTGTGAGTTTTTTCATGATGAAGGAAGGACATTCCAGTGGAAGAGGAAAGTGTGAGCAAAAGCACACAATCAGGAGCCCTAAGGCATGTCCCAAGCACTGGGAACAAGGAGCTGTCTAGATTGCTCGGAGCAAGGAGAGCTTTGAAGGCCGGGGTGCGTGTGTGTGTGTGTGTGTGTGTGTGTAATGGAAGAGCTACATTGGGAAAATTAATCTAAAAGTATCATTGGAGAGATCAGAGTGAGAAGAAGGTGAAGGGGAAGAGGTCAGTTCATTGGTCTGGTCGAGGACAGTAACCCTCATGAGAATGAAAACGAGGGGGCAGATTCGAGGGACATTACACAGACAGAACCTTCAAGACTTACCAACTGATTAGATGGCTTTTGGAGGCACCATTAATAGAAATAGGGAAGTCAAGAGGGGAAGAGAAGTGTGCACTAAGGAGATTCAAAGAGGAAAGTGAGTTTAGATTTTGGTGTGTTAAGTTTGTGGTTTCTTATGGAAGAGGTCTGGGTAGAGCTGTTCAGCAGGTGGTAGAGAGTGTGGGATCGAAGCCTGCTGGAGAGCTCGAGCTGAGGCAGTGTTTGCTGGAGTGGAATTCTGTGAGCCAGTCGTTAGACACAGACATTATTAAAAATGAAATTATGTAAGCCTACAATTAAATATATTTTAAAGGTAAGAAATATTTAAAACTCATCATTTTCTAACTATTTTACTATACTGTAACATAGGCTCTTAAGGTTATTTATCTCTATCATTTTTGCATGGCAAAAATACTGTGTAATGTACGCAAATGAGCATATCTTTCCGATTCTGTGTTTAGCAAAGTCATGTGGATAGCTTGCAATGGGCTAAAATTGGAGTATTTACACCACAAATAGTAGCAAATGTTACAAATAGGGCCAGCCTTCCCACAGAAAATTGGTTCTTGGCAACCCTGAATAAATGCTATATTTAAGAGTTATCTTCATGAAGGTGACAAGTGAGCCACATCATGGACTTGCTAATATATATTTGTTTAGAGAGAAACCAAGGGAAAGTCTGGAGAATACTTAGGAGGTTCAGAGATGAGGCTGAGACTGGCTCTAGGGGCTAGGTGAGTAGATTTGCTGCAGAGGAAAGAAAATTGTCTAAACATATATACATAATGTTTTT